GGCTCAGATCGTGCTGGGCCTTGAAGGTCAGAAGAGTTTGAATGTTGTACAGAAAAGCAATTCTGGCATTTGATGATCAGAGGCAAGGTTTAATGAAATCAATTAGGAAAATCCTTTTGGCAGCAGTGTGCAGGACAGATTGGAAAGGGGTACAGAAAGACCAGTCAAAAGGTGTCTCAGTAATCTGCATATGTGATGATGATAAGGACCTGGCTTGGAGTGACGGCCTGAGCTTGGGAAGGAGGGAACAATAGGAAAGATAATCTGAAGAGAGAATTGTCGGGGCGCCTGGGTGGCTCAGTTGGTTAAGCGACTGCCTTCGGCTCAGGTCATGATCCTGGAGTCTCAGGATCGAGTCCCGCATCAGGCTCCTTGCTCAGCGAGGAGTCTGCTTCTCCCTCTGACCCTCCCCCTCTCATGCTCTCTCTCTCTCTCATTCTCTCTCTCAAATAAATAAAAAATTAAAAAAAAAAAAAGAGAGAGAATTGTCAAGACTTACAGAAGGAGTAAGTTTTTTATTGAGGACCTTTTATGGAATCGATACTGATTTAACAATTGACGAAGTTATTTCTGGTTTTTCTGGGGAGGAAGGCTGAGACTTCTCTAAAATGTAGCAAATGAAGAAGAGCTTTTTTCCCTGAAAATAAACCTAAGAGGACTGTTAGGTCCTTAAGGTAAGACTGTTTTAGGTGCCCTTCACCTTGTAGTGTGAGACTCAGAGCTGACTGAATTGGGTACCTGGGTACTTCCAGTGCTCTAGTTCTGCTTTTCCTCCATTGACTTACTGATGTTATAGCCTGGAGGCCAGGATCCTCAAATGCTGTTTAAGCAATCTTCCTAAAACTGAGCTCAACCATCTTACCTTGAATTTCCCTTAGGAGTGGATTTTTACAGCCTGAAAATCATAATTTACTGTATTCAGCCCTTGAGGTCCTTACCAACCGACTGAAACAAGGAGAGCCCGACCAGTCCTTGGAGGAATTGCTCAGGTAGGTCAGACTACATATCCCAGAGTGTTGTCCCAAAAACTAAAACAGAATTAGCAAGGTTTCTTGGAAATCACTTGGGTGTCCTCTCAGTAGTTGTGAGGGAAACTGATGTTTTCAGCTACTTTTCCTCAGTCATATGAGCTTTTTCATCTATGTATTCAGATAAATCCTGGAACATTAGAAACTGTTGAAAAAAATCCTACTAAATCTTTGGTATCCTGCATCCTGTAAAGTTGGCCTTTTTGGGTAATGATGTCGAAAACACTAGTGACCTGTAGTCAACTCTTGATTTTCCAGAAATCTACTCAGTCTCTCCGTAGGGTCAGGTAATTAGGTAGCAGTAGTTACCACTGATTTCCTCCCAGTCTTGAAAGAAGAGGAGCCTAGGCTGAGGGCAAGGCAGTGGAAGAGGGAGGTGAAAAGGAGATCTAAGAGGCATGGTTCCCAGCTTCCTATCCCAGCTTCAACCAGAGTAATTTTGTCTTTTACCTCCTCTACATTGTCTCTGGATCTGCAATTAATGCTTATCATCCCTGCCTATAGGGCAAGACCTTACTTCATTTTAAATATAGTGCTTTTAAATTTGTTTGACCTCCTTCCCACAATCAATCAGGAGAGTACACTCTAGTTTTATTTCAACTACAGTTTTGGATTAATTTTGACTCCCCATCTCCCATTATTTCAGTGCATTGAAAGCTGACCATATATATATATGGTACACTTATTAAAAGCTCTGCTTTCTCTGTCTTATAGTTTCCTTTCACTTTCCCTGTAAACCTAGAATTGAAACTTTATTCTCATTGTGTTGCCTTAGGCTTTAAGAGCAAATAATTTGTTCAGGGTTGCTCATGTAAGCATGGCGTAAACTCCTCTTTGGGTATCTTGGTGTACATGACCCCTTCCAAGCCAGCATTCCAGGCCCTGGGCTCTGTTCCGCCCTGGCTTTCTTCATGAAGGCTAAAGGTTCTCTATCAGGGTCTTGATAGAAGGTGGCCACAAAAGCACCTGAAAATGAGAAGGATTCTGATTAGACCAATAAATACGCAAGTCAACTTGGACAATTCATGAATTTAGACATATCTGTAACACTTGTCATATCTTTTTTATTCTTTCTTGTCTCCCTTACAGCCAGAGCTTCAATTACTTGCAGAATTTCTCTCACAGCGTTCCCAGTTTCCAGTGTGCTCTTTATCTCATCAGACTTTTGATGGTCATTTTGGAGAAATCTACAGCTCCTACTCAGAACAAAGAAAAAATTGGTGATGGGCCCAGATCCTCTTTTTTTTCTTCATGAATAGGATTAATAACTAACTCAAACTTACAAACTTAGGGCATCCTAGGACCTTGTATATTTTACATGTGAAACCCCCCATAAGAGTGGATGTGCCCTCTTGCCATATCAAGAAGGACATTTTCCCAGAAGGAGATATGACTGATTTCTGCTGATACTGTTTAGTCTGAGTTTGGTTAGTTCAGTTGGCTAGCTGATTTTCTGTTCGGCTTCTGTTTATTCGTGCCCTTTTTTTTTTTTTTTCTTGTAAATTATCTGAAACATTTGACAAAAAGAGATACAAACTGCTAGGTTAATAAAATGGGAGAAAGGAGAAATCAAGATTTGATTAAGTGTAAAGAAAGGCTGGGCCCCATTCCTGATCCTTTTTTTTTTTTTTTTTAAGATTTTATTTATTTATTTGAGAGAGACACAGAAATAGGGAGAGAAAGCATGAACTGGGAGGAGAGGGAGAAGCAGGCTTCTTGCTGAGCAGTGAGCCCAATGCAGGGCTTGATCCCAGGACCCCAGGATCATGACCTGAGCCGAAGGCAGACGCTTAACCGACTGAGCCACCCAGGCGCCCCTCCTGATCTTTTTCTTTAACTATTTTTTGTCATAGCTCTTTGAATGCAACTAATTATATATTCTAATTGGCAGCACACACAGGAAGCAAGAAGAAAATGCAAAACAAGCCTTTTATTATTTATTGTTGATTAAAAGGGGAGGGTTTTGTGGGAATCTTTAAGGTGGGCATGGCTTATTGATCTGCTCAGGAGGAACAAGATTGGTTGTCCTATTGCCCAGCAGTGTGTGTCTTTTGAGTTCATGTTTGTGTATGTGTCAGGGCAGGGTGAGATGGTGGGATGCATTGGGTCCTAGACAAACGGGTTTATTTCTGGTCAAAGGACCAGTAGAGCAGGAACCCATGGTAGCTTTTTCCAAATTGTCAGACTAGGAACTTCAGAGTAAATATTAAAAAAAAAAACACAACAATCCTTTTGATCATTAATCATCCCCCAAAAACCTGAAAAACAAGAGTATAGTCAATTTTCCATGCTTGAGGGGTGCCTGGGTGGCTCAGTCGGTTAAGCGGCTGCCTTTGGCTCAGGTCATGATCACAGGGTCCTGGGATAGAGCCCCACATCAGGCTCCCTGCTCAGCGGGAAGTCTGCTTCTCCCTCTCCCACTCCCCCTGCTTGTGTTCCTGCTCTCGCTATCTCTCTCTCTGTTAAATAAATAAAATCTTTAAAAAAAAATTTTTTTTTTTCCATGCATGAGGGTGTTTGTCTTGCTTCTCCATCAGCTTCGTTGGCCAAACAGTTCCTCTGTCGGGTGTGGCCAAGTGGGGAGAAAGAGAAGAGTAGCATCCCTACTGAACAGCTCCAAACTTTGCTCAGGTGAGAGGCTTGGTTTCTTTCCATGAGCCAAATAGTCCATATTGCCATTGTTGGGATCTCTTGCCAGGTGCCTAGGAACCCAGGTGCCCCACTGGTTCTTTTTTATACTGTCAGCTAGTTCCTGACTAGCTGGAGGAAATGGAGGCGTCTGCTGTTGTATTTTGCCTTGTTAACCAGAGTTAGGTAATAATTTGTTGCCTACTATATCCAAGACTCATCCATCACTTCCAAAGTGTCTAACTGTATTTCCAATTGAAACATCATTTCCTTTATCTCCTGATAATTACCTGCAATCTTCATTTGATTAAAAATAAATGCTCGTAGGGGTGCCTGGGTGACTCAGTAGGCTAAGCGTCTGCCTTAGGCTCAGGTCATGATCCCGGGGTCCTGGGATCGAGCCCTTCGTAGGGCTCCCTGCTCAGCTGGAAGTCTCCTCCTCTCCCTCTGCTCCTTCCCCTGCTCGTGCTCTCTCAAATAAATAAAATCTTTTAAAAAAAATTAATAGGGGCGCCTGGGTGGCTCAATCGTTAAGTGCCTACCTTCAGCTCAGGTCATGATCCCAGGGTCGTGGGATCGAGCCCCGCATTGGGCTCCCTGCTCAGCGGGAAGCCTGCTTCTCCCTCTCCCACTCCCCCTGCTTGTGTTCCCTCTCTCGCTGTGTCTCTCTCTGTCAAATAAATATATAAAATCTTTTTAAAAAAATTTATAAACACTAGTAGTTGTTTTAAAGCTAAGTACCTGGTGGGATGACTGGGTGCTCAGTTGGTTAAGCAACCAACTCTTACTTTCTGCTCAGGTCATGATCTCAGGTTCATGAGATTGAGCCCTGTATCAGGCTCTACGCTCAGTGCAGTGTCTGCTTGGAATTCTCTTCTCCCTCTCCTTCTGCCCCTCCCCCTGCTTGCATGGGTGCACCCACACACGTTCTCTCTAAATAAATAAAATATTTAAATTTAATAAATAAATAAATAAAGCTAAGTACCTGGTAATATGTCAGGAAAGAAATCTTGATTTAGGAATTCTGGTAACGTGTGTTTATATTCCTGTGGCTCTCAATGCAGCATTTACCTGGAGCATACAAACAGTGTTCTGAAGGCCATAGAGGAGATTGCTGGGGTTGGTGTCCCAGAACTGATCAATTCTCCTAAAGATGCATCTTCTTCCACGTTCCCTACCCTGACCAGGTAAGGGAGTTCTCTCCTCCAGTTTTTTTCCCTAATTAGAATCACACTGTCCAATGTATGTGGTTTCCAAATAACTACCTTACCCTTCATTTAATTTTTTTTTTGTTTTGTTTTTATTATGCACTACATTAATACACTGCCTTACCGTCTGGAAGGGGTAGATGAGTATGACGGAGTTATTTTTCATCAGTCAGGAAAATGCTTCCTTAATCGATATTCTCCAAACCCTTTGACACATAGTAACGATTAACTCCAGAGACCCGCCTATCTCTTTGCATCAAACTCCACTGATACGGATAATAGGCATCCCTTTTTTCCTTGCCTCCATTACTGAACCTGTGGATGTGCGCCGTGGCTACGCAATGGATGACCAAGCACACGGCCATGATGCCGATCCCGGGCAGGATCTCGAACCACATCGCAGTGCGGTTGCCAGGGCCAAACCCTGCCTTCCTGGCCTGGTAAAGATGACCCGGCCTCAGCCCCCTTCCCAGTAGGCTCACCCTTCATTTAATTCTGATACACATGGTAGGTACAGTCATTCATTCAACACATAGAATGTCTACTGTGCCTTTTTTTCAAGGGGCTCTCAGCCAACCCATGTGAAAGGACCTTAGTGAGGAATGAATTTTCAGTAGTCTTCAAAGACCATATTTAGTCATCAAACATCTCATGTTAGTACTTTCATCCTTTAAAAGTGAGACTAATATTTTAACCACCTTTAGGATAAAGTGTTGTGTCTAATCATGTACATCTCAATGGGTTTTTTATCTCATACAAAGTTTATAAAGCACTTTCACATTCTTTATGTCATTCGATCCTTTCAATGATTCTGTGAGGTAGGTATTATTATCCCTGTTGTACTGATGAGGAAAATGAGCATTAGAGAGGGAACTTACTCAGACTTACACAGGCAGTATGGAATTAGGAACTTGAACTTGGATCTTTTTACCACTACCTCACAGCTCCTTCCATGCCACTACACAGTCTCCCTTCATAAAGTTAATTCCTTTATTTGACAGGCCATCTTCTTGGGCTCCTTTGTGAATCCTTTCCACTCCCCTATCCTTTAACAGTGGACCCTAGTGAAAGGAAGTTCTGAGAGGTGGGGGAAGGAAATGACTTTTGATTCCTTGACTTCTTCCTTGGAAGTTCTTTCTAACCCGTCGTTGTGTGAGCATGCATGTTTTCCCCTCTTTAGGCACACCTTTGTCATTTTCTTCCGTGTGATGATGGCTGAACTAGAGAAGACAGTAAAGGGTCTTCAGGCTGGCACAGCAGCAGACTCACAACAGGTGGGTCAGATATTCCCACCACAAGAGGTAGACCTGGTTACTAGGAAGCTGCTGCATCTTCTATTTCTTGGGTCCAGGGTTTCTTCTAAACTACTTCCTTTGAGTTAGAGAGATCCAGGATTCTTTGTCAAAGAGTTCCTGGTTTAATTTCCTTTCCTTCCAGTTTGAGGGAGGATTGGGCTCTATACTCCCTGGCTACTGCCCAGAGGCAGGCTCAGACTGCTCCATAAGCAAGCCCTAGCTCTGGAAAAAATGTCTTTGGTCGCAGCCTCCCATGCCCGGCAGTTTGCTGCTCGTGCGCTGGCATGAGGTGAGCAGGCCTGTTTAAGATGCTGTGCTGCTGCCTGTTAACCAGAACTGAGCTAGACCGCTGAGAGCGTAGGAATCAGAGAAGCTGCAGGGATCTGGTCACCAGCAGGTATGTTGCAGAGGCTTTTTCCTACTTGGAAGTTCCTGAAGAGGAGTCCTCTTTAGAAACTCTCTATAAGGCACCCTATGCAGGCCTCAGAATCATCTGGTGGGTGCACTGGTAACATCTGAGAGAATAATTGGCTTAAATTAATCTTTGAATAGCTATGTAACCCAAGACCCATATATTAGTGGAAATACAGTAAGAGAAGTACTTGGCTGGTTCAGAAGTACCTATATATTTGGTTGCCCCCAGATTCATGAAGAGAAGCTCCTCTACTGGAATATGGCTGTTCGAGACTTCAGTATCCTCATCAGCCTGATAAAGGTGAGTGTGCAGGCTCCTTGACCCACCTCACCAGCTAACTACAGAAACCGAGAAGGGTCCTGGCTTCCAAAATGGACTCTCCCTGCTCGTTTCCCCTCCCTTTCTTGGGGACCTGTTCTCACCTTTCTTTTTCCCTTGTCCCTCTACCCATCCTGGATAATCCTTTCTTCTCTCCCGAGGCAGTGTCTTTTTCCTTCTCTCTCTTTCTCCTTCCCTATCTGTGCCACAATACTATTTAATGGCTCTCACCTTGTCTTAGGTCCTCTGTGACCCGAGCACATTCCCACTGTCACATTCTTCCAACCCTGAATGCTTTCTTTGTCCCATACACTCTGTACTCTTACCCACTCCATGATTTTGCTAGGCTATTCTCCCAGCTCAGAATGTCATTCTCTCTCCTTCCACCTCTCATCTATTTTTTTTTAAGGCTTCGCATCAAGGTTTGGATTTCTATAATGCCATCTTCTTAATATCCTGAGTTAGAATTCTTACTCTTTGCTTCCGTGTTCCTTTTTTGAACTTCAGTGATGGTGATTACTTTATTCTGTTTCATAATTAATTTAATTGTTGACATGCCTTCTTCATTTTAGAATTCTCTATGACACCCAGAGCTGTGCTTTGCACAATGGGGAAGAGGCTGGCGGTGCTCAAACAAGCAGACCTCAGCTTTGGTTTCTTGTCTTTTGTATCTCCAGGTGTTTGATAGTCGTCCTGTTCTGCATGTATGTTTGAAGGTGAGAGATTGACCTGGCCCTCTTTTTTTTTTTTTTTTTTTTTAAGATTTTATTTATTTGTCAGAGAGAGACACAGCGAGAGAGGGAATATAAGCAGGGGGAGTGGCAGAGGGAGAAGCAGGCTTCCTGCTGAGCAGGGAAGCCCAATTCGGGGCTCGATCCCAGGACCCTGGGATCATGACCTGAGCCGAAGGCAGATGCTTAACTGAGCCACCAGGCGCTCCTTGACCTGGCACTCTTTAGTATTTATTCTTCCTGTGGATCTTTCTAGAAATGGCCTCAGCTGAAAGGAGTTGCTTAATACTTTGCCCACAAGCCAGATTTTTTGGAATCTGTGCTAACAGGTGGTAGTTTAGAAAAGACAGTGGATATGTTTTCCCACAGTAGTGGGATGACTGGAGAAGCTGATTTTTCTATGAGTTTGAAAACTTTTGACCTGAGTCTGAGAACTATGGGGAGTGGCTTCAGGACAGCTGACTTCAGGAGCACTAGTCACTCCTTGCCATTCCTTCCCAGGCAATAGGGAGGAAGGAGTGGTGGGTGATTCCTCTTTTTATTTTATTTTAATTAATTAATTTTTTAAAGATTTATTTATTTATTTGAGAGAGAGAAAGAGTACACATGCACACAGGGCAGAAGGGCAGAGGGAAAGGGAGAGTTTTAAGCGGACTCCACTCTGAGCACAGAGCCTGATGCAGGGCTCCATTTCATGACCTTGAGATCATAACCTGACCTGAAATCAAGAGTTGGACGCTTAACCAACTATGCCACCCACACATCCCCGATTCCTCTTTTTAAAGCCCATGGCTGGCCTCATGAATGTGGAAGCTGGTATCCTGATAACCCAAACTTGTCTCCCTGGGGGAGAGCCCAGATTAGCCCTAGATTTGATGATGGGTTAGGAGCTAGGAAACGTTATGAGGAGAATGTGTCTTTCCTACTCCTTATGGTTCCTTCCAATTGGATGGCGCCCCATTCTTGTTATCCCCTGGTTCCTCTCTTCCTCTTTACTCCACCCTGGTGCCAGTGCAGAAAATGGGTAAGAAGGGGGAGTGATTTATCTGATTGGTAGATTTGGCAGTTAGTTATGTACTTCCTCAGCTCTACACGGTTTTTTTCCTTTTGTGAGTAAGTGGTTCTCAGACAGCTGGTCCACCTGTTTTCTATGGCCTCTGCCCATTGGCTGTGTCTAGGATAGTTAAGTCTGCCTAACTCTGAGGCTTAGTTAGAGGCCCATTTAATTTTTGCATTAAGCTTACATTTTCCAAATTAACTTTTGGACTCTTCCCAGTTTATCTTTTTATATACGAAAATAAGAAAATAAAACCCCTGGGCTGGGTGATGCTATGCTACCTCAGGCAGGGGCTCTTTGTGTGCAAGACCTCAGTAGGGGTCATCACCAGTGTGTCTCTTCTCTTCTTCAGTATGGACGTCTCTTTGTGGAAGCATTTCTGAAGCAGTGTATGCCGCTCCTAGACTTCAGTTTTAGAAAACACCGGGTAAGAACTGAGAGCACAGAAGAAAGATGGGTTCTGTACAATTGCTCAGAAGATCTATCCATGGTGGCTCCTAGGCTGGGAGTGGGGGCGGTCCCCTTGCCCAGGTTCTGGGCCACAGTTCTACTCTGGCTCCTTTGATCCACTTCAGCTATCACCAGAGATGCCCATATTGGACTGAATATTCCAAAGTAGGCTGAACTTTAGACCCACTCTGATTAAACCCACCTTTCTACTTCTACGCCAGATCTGAGGGTGGTTGCTCCTTTTAGCTTGGTTTTATTGTGTTGCTACACTCCTAGGACCTCGATATCAGTGTGTCATTTGCTTATTCCTTTGTGCTTGTCTAAGTCTACCCTCAGGAATAATAATAATAATTCATGTGTGTCATAAACTCTTTGCTGTTGTAATGGGTAGTCTTTTTTTTTTTTTTAACATGCAGACTTTTTTTTTTAACTTTTATTTTTTAAAGATTTTACTTATTCATTAGAGAGAGAGAGCACGAGCAGGAGGAGGGGCAGGGAGAGATGGAGAGGGAGAAGCAGACTCCCCGCTGAGCAGGGACCGTGATGTGGGGCTTGATCCCAGGGCCCCAAGATCATGACCTGAGCCAAAGTCAGACACTTAACCGACTGAGCCACCCAGGCGCCCCTGTAATAGGTAGTCTGGAGAGGTTTTTTTTGGCCAAGTGAGATCCAGGGTTATAGTAATGAAATAAGGATAGTAACAAAGGTGATGATTTCTTACACATATTTAGCAAGTTTGCAAGACACTCCCACAGTATTTGGTTGGTTCCTCATAACCTAGAAAGAGAAAGGGGGGGATAGCTAGTAAGCCCTAGCTTCAAGGGCCAAATTGAGATGATTGCTAATACACAGCTGGAACCTGTGGAGCTTATCCTCTTTGGAGCCCTTGGTTGCATCTAAAATGAAATGAGAGCATTTAATATGGCATTTATGATTTTGTTGGTTGTAGGAGGATGTTCTGAGCTTACTGGAAACCTTCCAGCTGGATACGAGGCTGCTTCATCACCTGTGTGGGCATTCCAAGGTAAGAAGGAAAGCAGGTCATGGCACCAGCCTGCCTGTTGGCTTAATCAGCAGTGTGATTAGGAGATCCACAGGCTCCAGTTCCTTCTTCCTTTTTTACTCTTCTTGAGTCTTTATTTTTGAGACTGTCTGTCCAAAGGCAGTTTAATTCAGAGTGCTCAGATCCTTAGTTGCTAGTTGAAATTGGGCAGTCATGTAGAGGGCAGTTTCTGCATCTGAAGTTTGACTCAAACTCCATAGCTCTATTTCCTGTAGAAGCTTCTCTTTGGTGAGAGATATAGAATGTTGGTGGACGTGTTGCTTCTATAACGTACTCGGGTGGGAGGAATATTATGTAAGTGACGATTCTTTGCTAGAGACAAGAGGTGGTTCTAAAAGCAGACATCTTCAGAGCTTTTCAGCTGTACTATTTACTTGTCAAGGAACACATCTGTCTCTTGTGAGAACATTTTACCATTAGAGGATTTTTCCACTTAAAGCCTACAATTGAACCATTGTCACTTTTTGTCTGAAGAAACACAGAACCATAGAACTCTGTAGTCATGGGCAAACCAAATTCTTTTTCAGTCTATTGCTCACTTCTTCCCCTGGTTCTAACTTTAGAATTTGTTGAACAATGGAGTTTTAGGGACACCTAGCTAAATAGGGATACTCTGTTGTTTAATATCAGTATAATACATGTTCAAGAACATTTTAGGTAAATTCATTGATAATTGGTCAATAAGAGGTCATGAAGAAGAACCTAAGGTGTTGGTGGTATGTCTTCTAGGCTCTTTTACCTTGAAGGGGAGCTGCCATTCTCTTCAGAGTACTCTGCCAAACTGCTGTTTAATGGAATATGTCTCTGACCTATACTGGAAGGACTTATGCTCTTATTCAGTGTTCAAGATATCAGGAATTCAAAAGTTTCTGTATAGGAATGTGAAAGCATGATAAATCCAGATGAGTTGGGTGCTTTTGTTTCCATTTAGATTCACCAGGACACGAAACTCACCAAACATGTGCCTTTGCTCAAAAAGACCCTGGAGCTTTTAGTTTGCAGAGTGAAAGCCATGCTTATCTTCAACAATTGCAGGGAGGCTTTCTGGCTGGGCAACCTCAAAAACCGGGACTTGCAGGTAAGCCTAGGGCCCAGCCCAAGATAATCTACTCCCACTCTTTGTGAGAGCATTAGAAGGTATGTCAAGGAGGTCAACTAAGCCTTGTTCTCTCTATAAGACTTGCCTTTCTCTTAAGGCTGTGGCCATTTACCTTTTAAAGTTAGGAGACACTGCTTCTGGTCTTAGTCATGGGTTCCACCCCTCATCCTAGCCAGCAAAGGCACCAAAACATACCACTGATAACAACAAGGCTGCAGCGATAGAAGAGCCAGATCAATAAAACCTCTCTCCTTAGCCAGAGTGGGCTCCTGTAAGTACTACCGGGGGTAGATTCATAATAACAATTGTTTATGTGGACAAACTTTTTAAATTATTTTGGGTCTTTTTCTAAACCACTCTGTCTTATTCCTGAAATTATTCTCTGCCTAATTTTTTTTTTTATAGCCTTGTAAGTTGATTTTATTTTAATTTTTTATTGTTCTCTGCCTAATTTTAACAAATAAACATTTCTAAGGTGTTTGAACTGTCTGGCTGAAATCTTATATGGCTATAGTACTCCTTTGGAGTTTTAGCAATTTTCATATAGGATCCAAGTCCTTCTCATTCATGTTTACAATAGGTGAGGGGTTTATAATCTTACATATGAAAAGAATAGCACCCCAGAGACTTTGTTTCCTTTCTTCACATTTGCTCTATGAGGTACTATTATTTCCATGATACTATTAAACAAAATACTATAATAAAACAATACTATTGTTTCCATGAGAAAAGTGAAGCTTGGAGAGGTTAAGTAACTTACCTAAAGTCATTCAGCAATAAGTGAGAGGTGCCAGGGTTTGAGTCCAAAGAGAAAGGATGAAAAGCTGATGTTCTTAAACCACTTTGTATACTGTCTTTCAGCCTCAACATGGCCATTTGTAGTTGGTGTGTCGTTGGTCATATACTTTAAGGTCTTTGGGAAATTTCAGAACAATATTTACCAATACATCCTGGCCTTGTAGAATCTAGTATGATATTAGAATACAGCAATGGACTTTTTGTAAAACTACATATTCTATTAGAGCCACACATATCTCAGAAACCTTGGGTTGATTATCACTACTCTAGATACTAAATCACAGGTTGATGTCCGTGTTTGACCATGTTTGAATGCCTAGAATATTATCTTTTCTATTGCCTTTAAACTAAGCCTTTCTCCCCTTGAAACCCCAAATATGATAATTATAACCCACCATTTGTCTTGGCCCATTCACATTTAGGGTGAAGAGATTAAGTCCCAGAACTCCGAGGAGAGTGAGGATGATACAGCATCCCAGGTTTCCAAGAGCAAAGCAACGGAGGTATCTCTGCATAAGGCCCAAGTGTGCAGTTGATTGATGTATTTTGTTAATTATTCTGAGTCAGTAGAAAGTATAGAAATTTTACTGTTTATGGGTTTTTTTTTTAAGTTTATTTATTTATTTTAGTTACCTCTGTAGCCAACCTGGGGCTTGAACTCACGACCCCAAGATCAAGAGTTGCGTGCTCTTCCAACTGAGCCAGCTAGGCACACCCTCCCTGCTTATGTTTGTTTTTTTTTTTTAAAGATTTTATTTATTTATTTGACAGCGAGAGAGGGAACACAAGCAGGGGGAGTGGGAGAGGGAGAAGCAGGCTTCCCGCTGAGCAGGGAGCCCGACGCAGGGCTCGATCCCAGGACCCTGGGATCATGACCTGAGCCGAAGGCAGACGCTTCATGACTGAGCCACCCAGGCGCCCCTCCCTGCTTATGTTTATAATCAAAGATTTCTGTGCCCATCTCCATTCTCTCCAGAAAAGTTTCTGTTTTTATATGAGTTCTGTGGGGGCCGGAAGAGTATCTCAAGTTGTGGCATATGTTATAGAGTTAAAAATTCCTTTTCATTATTCATATTAAATTTGTATCAAACTATTTTAGAGGGGAGAAAAGGTCAAGTGTTCTCTGAGTGCTGAGAAGAAAGAGTTAAAACATTTAAATATGTTGTTTGAATATATAAAATAGAAATATGAGCACATTAGGTGAAAGCTAAAGCACAGAATCAAAAGCTGCAATCACTGAGGACTATAGTAAGAGTAGGGGTCCTTATTCTTTTCTGGGCCACTTTTAGGACTTTAAAGAAAGCTGAAGAAAAATGTATACGTTTATAAAATTTTGTTAAAATTCAGGTGGGTTTTAGATACCAAGAAGCTCAGATTTAAGAACCCCTGCTGTGGGGCGCCTGGGTGGCTCAGTTGGTTAAGCGACTGCCTTCGGCTCAGGTCATGATCCTGGAGTCCCGGGATCGAGTTCCATATCGGGCTCCTTGCTCAACAGGGGGTCTGCTTCTCCCTCTGACCCTCCCCCGTCTCATGTGCTCTCTCTCTCTCATTCTCTCTCTCAAATAAATAAATAAAATCTTTAAAAAAAAAAAAAAAAAGGAAGAACCCCTGCTGTGAAGCCTCTCTATAATGCAATTTGAGGCTAATGCAGAAAGATCATTTAGCATGAAAAATACTTTTATTATTTGTATAGTATACCTCTACCTTGTTCTCATAAAAAAATTTTGAAGCAGACAATACTTTGGTACTTTCTCCTAATAAGCAAACCTCCCAGATTAGAGTTACAGGCCAAAGAATTTTATGCTGAATTCGTATTAGATACACCAGAATTCTTAATTTAGCAAACATTCCATTCTGTATTGAGTGCCTGCTTTATTCTATGTCACACACATGCAGTAGAGGTGGAAAACCATGGCTTATTTAGAAATCATGTGAATTTGGTTCAGTTGCAGAATGTCATAGGTCAGTATCACAGTGGCCTACCTCCATGGTCATGATAGAAGAAAAATGGGGGAGCTTCGATTCCTTTTTCAAATGAATGGCTTAACACCTATCATTGATTTTAACAATGATACAGTACAGTTATAAATCCTATGGGAGCAGTACTGTAATTCATGGGGTCACCTAGATGACCTAAAATATCTAATTATCCTTTGCCTCTTAGGATGGTGAAGAAGATGAAGTAAGTGATGGAGAAAAGAAGCAAGATAGTGATGAGAGTGATGATGACTCCAACTAGACCACAGAGAGACGGATGCCCCTTCTCCATCTCTGCTAGCCTCTTCCCATTTTGTGTTCAGGGTTTGGAATCTGCGGTCTTACCTTCCTTACCGGAAGCATCCTGTTTTGTCATTAGGAGGGTGGGCTTTACTGAATCACCTTAATTGTGAATTTCACAGGTCATCTAACATCATCAAAGACCCTGGCTCAGGATTCCACTGTAGCGTTACTTACCAGTCTGGGCAAACATGGCAGTGCTTTGCTGTGGAATAGTCAACAATTCTGGGCTTTGAAAGCTAGTTTTGAAACTTAGAAATTTAGGATTGTACCAGTTTTACAAATAAATTCTGTTTTAAGTTCTGCCTCAACTACCTCATTCCTCTTTCTGAATGTCCTTCCTAAATCAAGGATTACATGGAATTCAGTTGGGGTTTATGCAGAGAAATAATGGCAACTGGTGCCAACACATCAGTTCTACCAATTAAAACCATGTTTCCTATTCTTTATTTGAGATGAGAAGATCTTTGTGATGTTTTTGGAGGAGTAACAAATTTCTGGTCAATGCCCAAAGAAAGTCCAAAAGGAAAATTCTGGGTGCTTTTTAAAAATTTTTTGGTCATGTAGATAGAAGATAAAAAGGGAAAAGTCACCATCAAATTCATGTTGACTTTGTATATATGTTTATTTCCACATTATTCTGAGTTATACCTATAGACTTATTATAACAATTCTGCAGAATTACTAATAGTACACCAGCTAAAATGGTGAGCTCTCATGTGTTCTGCCAGAAAGCCCAGTTTCATTGCTGCTTCCAAGTTCTTTCTTGCCAGGCTATAAATATTCTTTAATATTTGCTAATATTACTATCCACTTTTGTACTCTCCAGTGGTATTAGGATGTGGTTGGTTAAGGTTTTTTTGTTGTTGATTTGGTGGGGTAGATTATTTGTTTTGTTTTTATAATTTTTTTTAATCCTTGACCCATCTATAGATTTTTGACCCCTTCATCCTCATGTACTTGGAAAGTCATAATCTCCTTCCTTGATACCCCTTTGTTTCCCCATCTCATTGTGGTCTTAGATGTTTAAGTGAGTTCACACTAGGCTCATTGGTTTATATGGTTTAATGGTTCTTTCTCACATGTACATGTCAACACTAGTTTGACTCTTTTAAATGTTGTTCAACTTTACAATGGAAATGTTCTCCTTTGCTCTGTCACTGGCCTTTGGGGGGAGGGGGGAAGGAGGAAAGGGGTTCCTGAATTATCACTGCTTGACAGAAAAGCAAGATGGCTCAGATGATGTCAGTTTCTTTTACATGGACAGGTTTCTGTAAGCTTCAGGCACATAGCACAGGACATGGTATGAGGAACAGGAATCAGATGGGAACCCTTTACTTGGAGTGTTGCAAGGCAAAGGTGCACTTCTTATATGTTGCATACAGTAAGAGGATAGAGCGCAGCATCTGTTTGCACATGGTCACTGTCATCTGAATCTGAGGTTCCTTAAGTCCAGTGGGCCACTGGTTCTCCCGGCTGGTGATTTTGCAAAAGGCTGATTTGTCTGAAACTCTGAAGGTCCCAGTCCATTTTGGTGGCTGAGCTGTGATGACCCTGCCAAACACGGAATCCACTCCACTGAGGCGGATAGGCTGGGGCTTCCTGACCAGCCCTTTCTTGTTGTTCATGGTTCGGAGCTCTGATGTGTGGCAGGGTAACTTGGGACTCACCCCAGGCTCCAGAAATGGGCTGTCTAGGACTAGAGTGACCTCTTGAAAGCACAGCTGCACTTCAAGGTCAGAAGGGGTATGTGGGAAGCAGGGGGAAGCCCTAAAGGGATGCTTTGAAGAAGGTGTAGGTGTTGTGTGCCGCAGCCATTGGAAGCTCTCGTCCAGTGGGGTCCATGGTGACCAAAGCTGGTATCCTGCCATTGACAGTCCTAAAGAAGAGGAATCAGAACATGGAATTTCCCTAGCGTGGTTTGGGGGAGGGCACGGCCGTTTAATTTCACATTTATTTGTTTCATTATTGACTTTAACTTACTCTGTAGTTCTCCTTAACAGATTCCAATAGATGTTAAGGATACTAGTAATTCTATAAAGGGCAGTAGTGGATGGTAACAAGTATTGAATCTGGCAACTGCTATGTATACTAAAACTTTATTAAATCTTATCACAAGCCTCTGAAGGTAGGTTTTAACCTATTTTACAGGTGAGGAAATGGAATTGTCCAAAGTGGAATAATCCCAGTTCACTATTAGGACATATACTGTGTTGTTAACTGCTGAAGACAGAATCTACACCTCTGAGGGGACAGAGGCTGCTGGCACTTCATGATGAGACATTATTTGTGGTTAGAAGCTCAGAAAAGCCAGGTCTTACTAAATATTTGTGACTCTAATTCCTGGTACTTCATACCAGTGGTTCTCAAAGTGTGATTCTGGCACTAGCAGCTTCAGCATCATCTGGAAATGTAGAAATGCACATTCTTGGGCCCTACTGGGAAACTGGGGGTAGGGCTTGCAATCTGCATTTAAACAAACCCTCCAGGGGATTCTGATGTACTCACAGTCTCAGAATTTCTTATGCCATCCCTTTTAAGGAACTTAAGGTTTTCGGTATTAGTTATGGAGACAGTCTCCTCTTGGCCCTAAAAACCTGTTTTCTGACGGGAACAGCTCTCTCAGAGCCCTGAGCTACTTATGTACCACCTCAGAAGAATTACACCAGGCTAAAAGGAAGAAAAGTTTCCAAAGGACAGTCTTAAAAATGGTTAAAGCTAATTCTTCTATGTGTGTTTTGTTTTGTTTTTGGTTTGTTATGGGCAACCTAGTGATTAAGATCTTGATTCTCCCCCCCCCCCGCCCCCACCTTTGAAGAAAAAGCAAAGGGCTGGGAAGATGTTGCTAACTATTTAAGTAGAATTTGGATTTTCCATCATTCTACTTTAAAACTGCCAATATATAAAAGGTTTTACTGAATTCAGAAGAAGCCAACATTTCTTGAGCACCTACCTATTATGGTAAGGGGCATAGCAGTTCCCTTTTCTTTCCAGCCAAGTATATTTCTCTGCCCCTTCTCTCTTCTCCCACAAAAGGTAACAGCAGCAGATCTGATCCCATCCCATCCAGTAATTGCCCAGGAAATGCTGTGAAAAGTTGACTCCTCCACCATAGTTTGTAAGACAGTAAAGTTCATTTTAAAAAAAGAGTTGATGACATTTCAAACCAGAAGACCTGTCCCTGACTGTGGGTAGCATAAAGGAGATTTGTTGTTTTCCTTCGACTGTTCTGTCTCTCCTTATCTTTGTACACTCCTTCACATACTGTGTTCAAATATCTGGACTGCTTTAGGATGAAAAATTGACACTGAGGGGATGGTTATCTATTACAAACAGCCTATGAAAGTCTTCTGATGCTTGCTATCATCACCCTGAGAGAATACATCCAAGATCAGGGCTGCTCTGGTACAGCACCATGGCAAGGTGGGGTGTGGAGGGTGTTAACTCCCTCAGTATATGACCAAAAAGATTATTTAATCCCAGGATCCTTTTCCTGACTCCCCTCCTAAGAGCAAATAGGGCCAGACGTAAAAGGCTTTTTATCAAATGTCCCGCCTTAAGTACTGGACAGAACGAACGTGGGGATGAGAGGGCTTCTGATCCCAGATCTTTAAGCCACTTCCACCAAGTTTTAAATCAAGACGATTCACCCCTCTGCTCCCACCACCCAGAAATCACTGTCATCCACTCCAAGAGGGTTTGAACCTTGGAAGTCTGTTCAAGCTGCTTTAATAGCTCCCAGATAGGGAACACCTTGTACTCCTGGCCAAAAAGTCTTCCCTTTCATACTCCTCCCGTTCCAAGGAACCGAGTCCCTCGATTTCCCCACCTGAGAAAGGGGAAGTAAGCGTCCAAATGCAGCTGAGGTCCTCGTGAATTGTGATTCCGATCCTGATCCAGAGAGGCTGGAGCTACCAGGAGTGGGGAGGCTCCCCGTCCCAGCGGGAAGAAGGGGCTTGTCCCCCGGGGATCCTTAACCGGGGGTGGAGGTCAGACGGCTCTGGCCGAAGCGGACGTGGCGGTGGGAGCCCGGGCCCGGTCCCACCATCCGGGCCGGGGGCTCACCTGCTGAACTCCGCGGGCCGCACGCTCCAGAGTGGCGGCCGCTGTTTCCTGGCCGCATCTTTTCTCCACTGGGCGCCTGGCAACCGCCTTTGTGACCCTGGGCCGCGGGAGTAGCCCGAGCCGCCGTGGGGGTGGGGGCTCGAGGCGCCCGGCTGGCGGGCTTCAGGGCCGGATGCCCTACCCCCACCTCCTTGGAACGCCCAGTCCAGGACTCCGCCTTCAGGAATGTGGGTTCGAATCCCGTCCTCTCCGTTCCGCCGCCTCCTCCCTACCCGCCACACCTGTGTGCTTTTGAGCTAGTCAGGGCGGGCGGACACGCCCACTTCAAAGGGTGTGGTCAGACCTACAGGAAAGTCCCCGAGCTTGTAGTTAGTGTTTAGTCTTGACTCCAAACTGTCCTGAGTGGGTATTCAGGCTCAAAGCTTTTATTGCTGCATTGGAATGATCCCAGCGCAAGGAGACAACTTATAAATAAATGCTCGCTTCTCAAGAGCAAGAAGAAAGGCACATGTCTTCCCTTGACTGACCAAAAATTTTTTTCTGCCTCCTATTAAACCTCAAAAAAAACAATGCTGTCCTCTTCTCACAAAGCTGCAAAACTGACCGTTTCACCATAGTAAAAGTGATTTGAGAACTTCGTAAGCGTCACTGCAATTTCCTTGGCAGGCTGAGGGAAGAGAGGTCTACCCAATTGACTCACTATATCCCCTGTGCCTGGCTATCCTGCCGCCTGGCTATCCTGCAGCCCGGCAGTGTGAAGTATTTGTGGCAAGAATTAACTAATGGCCCCACCTGCCCTTACCTTGTACACCCAGAAATTGCCCTTGCACTTTGCCAACTGTAGAGCACAGCACACATAAGAGCTATCACCTTTCGTCTGGCTCGTTGGGTGAAGCTGAACGGGAGAGATGGGGGCGGTGGGGGCGGACTCAGGCTAAAGACCCTGATTTGGAAGACCAGATGGTTTTGAGGGACTTGTCGAGAATTGTCAGATGGGGTGTGTGTGTGTGTGTGTGTGTGTTGCACCCTGTGGAAGGAGAAGTGGAGAGTTTGGAAGCGAAGTCAGAAAATGAAGAGGGGGCAGAGAGTGATGAGTCTTGGAAGACACTGAAATGATTTGAATTGCAAAACTTTGTTTTCCAGTAAGTTTATTTTTATTTTCATCTCAAAAGAGACTGTTATTTAAAAAGCAAACAAAACAGTTTTTATTGCACAGTTGGGGTTTTTTAATGAAAGTCCCAAAAGCAAAATTGTATAATTACAAGTTTTTGGATAGAGAGGGCTTCGTGCTGTTATGACAATCTGTACCACAGTCCTCTGTGCAGTCTGCCAGCTCTCAGGGATCTATTTTTGGAGGTACCATTTGCTTTACCTCTGGCTCTGATACTCCAGTTCCATGGCTACCACACAGATATGGAAAACTGGAATCTCCCATACTACCTGTTACTGATGACCTACAACATCAACTTTGTCTGTATCATGCAGCTCTCAACATTCTGTGTGCACTGTCCTCAGGGATTGTCATGACACTAACCACATTTGCTCTGCCAAAAGATGATTCAGTTCTTTTCAAAGAAGCTAGCAACATTGCCATGGTGCACATGCTATATCCTTAGCCACGTAAATGATGGTCCAAGTGCACATGATTGCAAAAAAGATTCACATGACCATGCTTAATGCAATTGACACATTTCTTCAAGAATTTGTTCCACACTGATTATTACATGTGGAGTCATTGACAAGATTCCTCAAGTTCTGTGAAGCACATGACAGACCCAAAGTCAGGGAACTTGTTCTTTTATGCTGAGGCAATCTACCACCCAGAAACACTCCTTGTTGCACCAGCAGCATTCCCAAAGGGCTTGCCTCTGTACCCATTGTAAACAGTTTCTGCAGTGAAGAACTACCACGCTGACAAACCCATACTGAAGGACTGCCTGACAGCAAGCTCCCTGAGGCATGTAGGAAAAAGCGCCAGAAGTCCAGAGGAATATTCTTCACTCTAGGACAGCACCATATCCTTGAGTTGTTTGGAATTACAGGGGAGATCCTAGAACAGGTGTATAGGAAGTCCAGCAAAAGGAGAAGAGCTGAGCCTGACTTATCTCATGGAAGGCCATTAATCATAAAAAACAAAATGTTGGATAGATATGTGTACTTAATTTTCTGCTTTCTGCATAAAAAGAAAATGTAAACTGATCATGGGTGCCTGCTTTGTGAAGAGTGAGGCACTGTGCTTAGTGTTCTATTTATTCTTTCTCACAGAATTCCAACAATCCTAATCCATCCATGTTGTTGTTCCTGTATTACACATGAAGAAAAAAAGTTCATAGGGGTGAAGTGACTCCTCACTGATAGATTTGTGATTTGAAACTGAGATGCCCTGCCTTTAAAGGAAAAGCAGATCTATCTGATTTCTCTGTGATGTGTGAGCAAGATACTACAACAGCATCACTTGGGAAGCAGGATCTTGAATGGCAGTTAGTCCTCTGGATACCTGGGGTTTGATATTTAGGGTTGATATTTATTATTTTAGTAACCATTTCTATGAATACGTAGGAGAGTTCAGAGGCCTTAGCTTGTTTTCAGATTGGTACAGTAAAAAGATACGGGAGTCTGGAATCAACTGGTGAAGATCCACCACTTAATTGACTGTGTGACCTTGAACTTCAGTTTTCTCATCTGTAAAATGAGAAGCCTCTTCCTGATTTCCTTTCACAGGGTTTGTGAGGGTTCAGTGAGGTAATAGCTATAAAAGCAGCTTTATAGCTTGTAAAATCTCATACCAGAGTAAAGGGCTGTTAGTAAAGATTTCTTCCCAGCTACTGCTAGAAGCAATCCGTTGAACATTTTTTTTAATAAAAGGCATGTATTGCACAAAGCAGATTGTAAAAATTCTCTTAAACAAAAATAAAATTGGGGCGCCTGGGTGGCTCAGTCTTTAAGTGTCTGCCTTCGGCTCAGGTCATGATCCTAGGGTCCTGGGATCGAGCCCTGCATCGGGCTCCCTTGCTCCGCGGGAGGCCTGCTTCTCCCTCTCCCATCCCCTCTGCTTATGTTCCCTCTCTCGCTATGTCTGTGTCAAATAAATAAAGATCTTAAAAAAATAAAATAAAATTGTCCATAATTCCACTACCTTAACAAACCAGACATTGGCATCTTTCATATACCCTTCTTGTCCTCAAGCAGACATAATTTTCATATAGTTGCAATTAAAGAGAATTTTGTATTTTTTTCCCCTTCAGCTTATCATGTATGTTGTCATAGTGTTCATAATTACTATTTAAATGACTGCATGATATTGCCGTAGGAGGCTGTACCATTGTTTAGCCATCCCCAACTATGGAGATATAGTTGTTTTGTTTTTTTAAATAGATAATGTTACAAAGAGCACCTTTGTGCTTAAAGTGTCTTTTTTTTTTTTTCTTTTTCAACGATTTTCTCAATGAAATGATTAGGTCAAAAAAGTTTGAATTTTTTGACAGTTCTTGCTATCAACTTACAAATTTCCTAAAGGAGTTGTGCCAGTTTACAGTGCGACCAGTTATTTAGGGGCCTATCAATTTTCCCTCAGCCTCTCCATCACTGGGTATTATTGTTAAAAAAAATAATAATAATACTAACGTTTTGTTTATTTGATGACTGCAAGGTGGGGAATCATGTTGTGTTGTTGAAAGCCATTTTCAAAATGAGTTGTATTTAATGTGGCTTAATTGGCTACGCCCAACTGATTGCTGACACAGACCACAACCTTAGTTTGGAGCAGAGGACGCAGCGAGCGTCTCGTGGTCAAGCGCCCCCTAACGACCAAAACCGCCCGCGATGGGGTATGTCGTGGGTAGGGGTGCCTCGGCGCGTGCGCACTCCATTTTCACCGTCGGGGTTTTTGCGACTTTTTTCAGGGGCGTGGGAGCAGAGCGAAAGGACTTGACATCGCGCAGGCGCATCACAATGCCCATGGATTCGTGGGTGCCAAGTAATGGGTGTGGGCTGGCGGCGCAGGCGCACTGGCCGGCTGGAGGGTCGGGGCGCCTGCGCAGTGGCTCCTCGTCAGGCGGCAGCCATGGCGGGTCAAGAGGATCCGGTACAGCGGGAGATTCACCAGGACTGGGCGAACCGGGAATACATAGAAGTCATCACCAGCAGCATCAAGAAAATCGCGGACTTTCTCAACTCGTTTGGTCAGCGGGCGAGCAGGGGGAGGTGGGGGTGGGTAGGAGGCCACTCAGGCAGTTTGGCGAGGGCGCTGAGAAGCTTTGAAGGGGCTTTCTCTGGGAGCCCTCGGCCCTAGCTGGTTTTCGCGTCCTCCGGACCCCACCCTCCGCCTCTCGCCCTGACCCTCAGCCTCCACTGGGCAGTCCCTGTGGGGTTCTCCTGCGCCAGGCTGAGCTCATCGGCTTCATTGCCCTCACCCCAGATCCATTAACAGGTCCTTCCTTTTCCCAGACTCTTCAGGCAGCTCCATCCACAGTCTTGTCTTCTCTTCGGTAGCCTCCCTGCTTCCTTTGTAACCCGCTACCATTCCCGTTCTCACTTTGCACTCAGAGTGCGCCTTTCCGAATGCAACCACAGCCGTGTCGCTGCCTTGTGTAAGTTTCTTGACGGTTCCTCATCATTTTCAGGATCTCTTAAGCGCCATACCTTTTAGTCGCCCATTCCCGTCTCCCGTTTTTGCTGCCCTGAGAGTGGTAGGAGATGAGGTCAGAGGTAAGGTCCAGATTATGTAAGGACATGGAGAGCCCTGTATTGCTGGTATCTAGCCGACAGTACGTGTTACTTCTGCTTCTAGCAAAATCTTTCCTAGGCATGGCCTGTTTGTAACAGTCTTCAATTCTTTCTGCTTTGTTCCGTATCCTTCTGGACAGCAAGCCTTAACAAAGACTCCCATCCCATGTTCTCCAAGTGTTTCTTTAACAGAACTGGGCACTGGGTAGACTTACTTAAGCAATCACAAGGTGTAAGGATGACATCTAGTGATCTTTTTCCAACTAGTGTGCTTCTGTTCCACTAATTCAGCAACAAGCAATTAAGATTAAGTAGGGGAAACTGATGTATTAAAAAAAGATTTAAAATGAATTATTTTCCAGCCGGAGGACTGATGCATCCTGAGGAGTAAGGTAACAGAACATGAATTTTCTTGGAAAGCATCAGCAAGGAGACCAGATCTCAGTACAAGGCTCTCAGGCACTCTGGAAGATACAGAATAGGAATCATTTCCTGCTTTCAAGGAATTTCTATCTTGAAGATGAAATAATGACAGTTTCAGAACATTGGTTTTGTATTAATCTATTTACTTACAAAGTGTATAAGACTATAATCTTAGTATGATGGATTTTCTCACCAGGGAATGAAGGTGAGGGTAGTATTAATGAGAGAATAGTATAAATAT